GACCCCCTCCTCACTGGGAAGAAGGCCACCCGGCCAGCAGCAGCTTTGAACTGCATTTCATAGGATTTCAGCAAGGTCATTTTGTGATCCAGATGGGGCAGAAGGTCTCATTTCCTAGCTCATCCCACCAGAAGCCAGAGAAAAGAATATTCTTAGGTTGGGATAAAGACAGTTAGTGGGATCTTTATATGACTGTGGTTCTCACTCTAATATGTTAATGTTTCTTTTCCTTGCATTTTCCTAATTTGCTGGTTATATGTAAACATGTGAGTTTGTATATATATGGTCTCCTTTCAGATTCCCACTAGTTTCATTGGAGGAAAATCCATGAGCTCCCTGGGTTTTTATTTAGTCATGCTTCCCCCACTCCCACTCCTTAGTGAGAATCAAAGACAACTGACCTAAAAATGAATCTGTGGCTTTTAGCCACAAGTAAAATTCACCTGATTCTGGAGTCGTGATGCATGAATGCTTATCTCCCTTTATCTATAACTTTTATAATTTCCTTCCTTACATTTGAGGAACCTTTTTCTAACTATGTTTTCATAATTTAGACATCCCATTGGTTGAAAAGTGAAAGCAGCTTTTGCATCGCCCCAAATGAGGCAAACATTTTAACTAACTTGGTCTGTGGATGGGACTACGGTGGGTTCTGTGCTCCTGGTTGCAGCCAAACTTGACTTTGGCTGCCAGCACCATGTAAAGCCCATTTTAAGAGACCTCACGTAGCCTGCATGGGGACTTTTTCTCTGAAGTTAACCAGGCTGTCCAGGGTAAGTTATGGACTTTTCCCTGGAAAAATCTAATTCTGGGCTCTGAGGAATTAAAGCACAGAGTTTTAGAACCTTATGGGGAATTGCAGAAATACGGTGCTGCAGATCTTTCCCTCTGCAGATACAAAAATAAAGAAGGGAGTGTACTCATTCCCAAAGATTGCCCTCCGTCTGCCATTTTCTTTCCTGGTGGCAACATTTTTATTTGCTATCGCTCTATCCTTTTTTTAAAATGGATTCCATGTTTTGGTTCTTTGGTGGTGATTTGGAATCTTCTTTTCTCCTATATTTTTCCTTTTTTTATCTGTGGTCAATATTTACCACCGATTTATTTTTTTGAATCCCGAGAGACTAGATGTGGCCCAGAATAAGTTGGGAAGTTCCACGTTGCCCTTCTTAGAGTAAATTACTGAAAAACAGGTTGTTTAATGGAACAGGTGTTGCCTTCACTCCAGAAAATGCAGGACTGAAGCAAAATCCCTTGAGAGGTAAAGGATGGAGCATCCAGGGACGAGGGCAACTGGAACTGAGGGTTCAGAAGGGGATGTCACAAGATCCAGGGCTCACACACAGCCTTGTGGGTAAACAGGAGTCTGAACTTTATTCTAAGTGTGCTGGGTTGCCCCTGCAGAACTTTAAGTAAGGGAGTGACATAGTCTGACTTGTGTTTTAAAAGGTCACTCTGGAGAACTGAATGGAAATAGATTGGAGTCAGGGATGGGGAGAGGGAGGACAAGAGTGAGAAGTGAGATTCTACTGTTGTAGAAAACCAGAAAGAAGCTGACGGTGCTTTGGCCTGAGGTGGAGGCCAAGGAGATGGTGAGCAGTGAATGGGTTTGAAATAGGCCTCACCTCTTCACATCACCACCTCAATACTGGAGACCAAGCTTCTAGCCCATGATTCTTTGGGGAACAAATCGTATCGGAACATAGCAATCATCAGGGATAAGATTTTCTTTTCATTCACCACAGAGTCTGGTCCTAACTGAATACTTTACATATATGGTTACATTAAATCAATAAAGTATGAGCTCATAGTGTGGAGTTCATTTTACAGGTGAAAAAACCGACGTATATCAAAAAATTAAGTGACCTACCCAAGAGCTAATAAGCAACAGAGCAGGCTTTGAACTAAAGCTTTTGATTCCTTGTCCTGACCTTTTCTTCATTATGTTCTTCTGGCACAAAATTCGTATTTTAATGAGTAAAAGGATTTGACCTGAGGTGCAACTTTGTCTCCATACTATTTTTTTCTTGACTGCTAATTAATGTTGTATTTTCCCCATGGTATTTATTGTCTGTGCCCCCCCTGACCAGCTTCAACTCACAAGGCAGAAATTCCTGTCTTCCAAACGAAGAAGGTATTATAGGCACTCCTGTCTTCTTCCTCCCCACCCAAAAAATGAAACTCTACCATACATCCCTGGAGATTTTTGTTGTGCGGTCTAACCGAGTCCAGATGTCTCTCAAGTCAGTCCCCAGACTCAGTAAAGTATCCGTAGTCATCTAGTGAAACAAATTCTGGACTAAATTGCAAACACCCGCTTCCCAAATAACTTATTCTGTGCTCTTCTGCCTTGTTTGTGTTATGGCCTTTCTGTGCTAATGATTTTGTAAATGTGGTTTAATTACTGTTTACTGAAAAATAGCTGCACACAGATCATTCTCGGTGGGAGACTTAGCCAAAATGCTGAGGCAATTTGCTTCTAATGCAAAACAGCTAATAAATGAGAAGCACTTTTTGAATGTTTGGAAAGGAACTTAAGTTCAGTTTTGAAGAAATAGTGTTTTGTATATTCAGGGAAAGAAATTATTCTTTAAAGGAATAGATTTAAATATCAACGTGGCAATTTTCCCCTCCAAAGCCAGGCCTACAGTGATTTGCACATATAATAATGGTGATTTGATTGAGCATTGCACCAAAGAGCTATATTCTCAAGATCTCCCCAAAAGGAAAACCTGAAATGACTTGTAAATTCCATTAAATATTTTGGAGCTCTGTAAATCCATGTATTATGTATTACCTCATGTTTCTGAATTCTGACCTCAGGCAAATTGCCAACTTAGCAAATAAATGGCAGTTTTAAATTTTTACTACAAACCAGCCTAAATTTGGTTGTTTTTTTTTTTTAACCTTCTAGAAAGAAAAGGACACAAGAGGGAAGTGAAAGTTATTGGAATGCTCAATTAATAAATTCTACTTGTGCTCATTTTGGAGTTGTAGTTTATGTTGCTCTTGGGTAAAGTAGGGTTTGCTTGATTCCACATAGAGACGGACCTCCAAAACAAATACCTTCCTGCAGTTGTGGATCATGCTACTACGAAGGGTTGTCCATTCTCCCTACCCTTGGGAGGATGCCTGCCTATGAGCAAAACCCTTACCAAGTTCCACCTTGAGTACAGAATTTAGAAAACAAAATCATCTTTTTTTAGATTCTATGTATGAGTGAGACTATGAAAGTTCCAGTTAGCAGGAAGAAGGTCTAATGTTCTATTGCACAGGAAGGTGACTATAAATAGTAAGATGCACAGTATATTTTAAAAGAGTTGGAAAAAGAGGAATTTGAATGATCTCACCACAAAGAAAAAAGATAAATGTTTGAAGTGATGCATGGGCTGATTACCCTGATTTGATCATCATATAATGTATACATGTATCGAAATACCACACTGTATCCCATGAAGATGACCAACTACTATGTGTCAGTTATAAATAAAATAAAACTTAGAAAAACTCCAATCAATGAACTTGGCAGTTCATAAGGGTCCCTCCTTGTTTCCTGGTCTGTAGATATTATGAAAGAAGCCTGAGGTGTGAGAGGTGCACACACTGTCCTATAGCGATTTCCTGATAGTGAAGGTCCCAGACAGACAGCTCAATATCAGAGATCTCAAGATCAAGTCTTGACTATAGATAGCTTTTAGTTGGCAAATAGCATCCTGAAAGCCAGACCCCTCCCCACCCCCTGCTTTCTGGCAAAAATGAAGTCTTTCTCTTCCAGGAAGACTATTCCATATTTCCACATTGTAATTATTCTTCTGCTTTCCAGCCACGTTTTTCAGTCATTGCTTCCGTTCATTAGTTTGCCAGATGCCCTATGTCATGGGTGCTGCAGAGATAAAGCAACCCCCAAGAAGACTCTGCCCTCAGGGCCGAATATGTAGCAGGAAAGAGCAGATAAAAAGGAATAAATACCATGGTGTGGAAAATCGGCTGTCTGGATGGAAATGGGGCTATGCTCTCTTATATTCTGTAATTGTCCAAGCCTACTTCCAGAATTTTTTAATAGAAGAAAAGTGCCAAGTACAAGTGCCGAGCCCTTTTGTGAGAAGGTTCTTGTCTTGAACATGCCTCAATCCTAAGACTCCACATCAATCCTAAGACTGCACATCAATCCTAAGACCACACATCAATATTCTAGCAGAGTTCTCTCTTTAAGGGTTAGGGCTTCCAATGATGTGGATTTTTTTCTTTATACAGTATGGTGTCTTACTTACTATTTTACTATGGATATGTGCTAATGATAAGAAAATACAAAGTTATTTGTATTTTAAAAAGGAACTTGGAACTTATTTCATAAACCGCAGTCATAGGACATAGACAACATAACGAAGCATCATCTTGACCATCTAAGCTCAACGTGGTTAGTGATTTACTTGGCAGCCTTTCCTTGTATTGGGAGTGCTTCCATTTCCTTTGTGTCTGTGTTGATATTGTGCTGGAAGTACCCAAGCCACACTTTCTTTGGAAATACTCTAGCAATTAAAAAAGTATTAAATTCTCTTTTATCCTCTTTTTTCCTCTTCCTCTCTTTGACTTCTCCCTGCTAGTACTTGGATTTGGTGTAGAATAAGTTTTCATAAAGCCAGGCTCAACCTCTTGAAAATTGATAAGATGGAACTAAGTAACCAATTAATTCTCTGTGTCTTTCTTATCCTATCTATCTATCTATCATCATCATCACCATCATCATCATCTGTCATCTTCTGCTCTTAGGTTAGCTTTGTATAAAATAAATATCAATTTTCCCGTCAGTGATAGTTTTTCCCTGCATCTTCACCTAGACTGTCTTTCCATTATCCTGTGTGGCTGACTGCAAAACCTAGACAATGTTATTGGACTTGTGTAGAGTTTATTTCTCTTTTCCAAGGAACAATCACAAATGATCTAATCTGCCCCTTAAGAACAGCTCTGAAAATTAAGTGTGTTTTCTTTTCTCTCTGCAGCTTGAATTCTTGCGGCCAGCATGGGGAAACAGAACAGCAAGCTGCGCCCCGAGGTCATGCAGGACTTGCTGGAGAGCACAGACTTTACAGAACATGAGATCCAGGAATGGTACAAAGGCTTCTTGAGAGACTGCCCCAGCGGACATTTGTCAATGGAAGAATTTAAGAAAATATACGGGAACTTTTTCCCTTACGGGGATGCTTCCAAATTTGCAGAGCATGTCTTCCGTACCTTTGATGCAAATGGAGATGGGACAATAGACTTTAGAGAATTCATCATTGCTCTGAGTGTAACGTCGAGGGGGAAGCTGGAGCAGAAGCTGAAATGGGCCTTCAGCATGTATGACCTGGATGGAAACGGCTACATCAGCAAGGCAGAGATGCTGGAGATTGTGCAGGTATGTAACCCTTTCAAAGGAGAAGAGTGTGTGTCATAAGTAAAAATTGGAAAGTGTACAGAGCAGAAATTGCAAGCTGGTAGATCATCAGTGCATTTTATTTAGTTCATTCAATGTTCATAAAATGTTTGAAGCTGCATTACAGGGCAAGGAACAGCTCTGAAAATTAAGAGGAGATTGCACATAAAACTTAAGGAGATTGCACATAAAACTTCACATGGGTAACATGTCTTGAAAACTTAGGAGCTCTGGCAACACTGGGCCCATATTCCTGCCTTTCATGTTACTGTTGCTTTAGGGTAATCCCTACACTGAAGATGGACATGTGCTCTTCAGTTGGTTGTATATACCCATTGCAGTGGCTTGCCTGGACGTGGAGCCCTGGGATTGGGGTTCACATCCTCTGGAGTGGTGTTAATGATTAAACTTTGAACTGGGCTCATGTCCTGCATCTTATGTCACTACCTCTGTGACTTTGACCAAGTTAGTTCACAGAAGCAGTGTCCTCATCTGTGAAATAGATCTACCAGTGATACCTACCCATGATGTGACGTTATTTTAAGATCAGACATGACTCCATGTTAAATGCTTAGCACAGTGCCAGCCACATCGATAAGCTCATTATCATTATCATTAACTTACAAACTTATTAGACTCTCAAAGAAAAGCAAACTCTAGACTTCAGATTCATTCCATCAAAGATAAACACTGCAGTATCGAGGTCTTTGTCATTTCAATAAGATATACTCCATTTGCTTTCTCCAAGTTACTTACCCAGAGATAGTTCCAAACAGGAGAATGGGTCTCAGTGTTGGCTACGTTTTCCTTAGGGGACCCAAGCACACTTTGGGGAGTGGGGAAGCAGGGTAAGGAGGTATGGTCATGGCAAGGACAGCTTGCCCAGCAGTGGGACCCAGAGACAAATTTAAGGAAACAGACACAGGACTCAGGAAAGAGTTAGAAGGGCCTCAGCAGCAGATGATAAGAAGGACTAGGTGGGCGGGCACCCCAATGAGTGCTGTGGTCGCTCAGGATCTTGGCAGTGAATGTTGCATACAGGGAAGCAAGTGATGGCAGACAGCGGGTACAAAAGGGTAGACACTTGGCTTTCTGGGGGGCTCAATGCAGACGCCACACTCATCCCAGGCTTCGGAGTACATGTCCTGCTGAGGTAGAGCTGCAGCCCCTGGGAGAATAGTGGAGTGCTAGGTGGGCAGGGGGGATGTACCACAAGGAGACATAGGAACTCAGCTATTGCTGGAGAGGATGAGGGTGGAGGTGGGGTCTTGCCTACAAAGAACCTCCAGGAACCTGATTATGGAAATTGGGGACAGAGCCCAAGAGAGACCTATAACAATGACCCAGGATGGACCCTTGACACTAGGCCTGAGGCTTCCTCTCAGGCCAATGGGACTGAACCCACATGGCTTTTAAAGGACCTGTTGGAGGGATGCAGGAGCAGGGATCCCAAAAGACTCCCTCTCCCAGGTGCAATCATTCAGGAACTCTCCAAGATCTGACAACTACCTATCCAGTTGGGCCACAGGTAGCTTTTCTCACATCCAGAGCATCTGAAAAAAATTGGGTTAAATGAATCCCTCAGAGATATGAGTCTTAAGCAGAAACAAATCTTCTCTCCCCTCCCTTAGGATAAGTGTGCAAAAAGTATAACATCTATAAAATTACAGGCAGTATAGAAAACTATAAAAGATAGAGGAAAATTACTCATAATCCCACCCTACCAACAAAGAAAATCACTGCTGATGATTATTTAAATACATCTTTCCTTGTCCTATTTCCATGCATTTAAAAATATCCAACTGATTTAATAATTTATAGAAGTTTTCTATCTTGCCATTTTTACTAACATAGTAACACAAGTATTTCCATACATAAAAAATTTAATAAAGACAATTCCATGGCTGTATAATAACAGTCCTATCATATATTATAATTTACTACATTTTACCCTGTCGTGGGATATTTAGGTTATTTCCAACTTTCATTGTTAAATATATTATAACTTTTTAAAAAATAAAATAACATATGCATAATTCTTCTGTTTAAAGATTTTTTTCTATTTTTAAGTTTATTCCCTAAGAATGGATTCCCAGAAGGAAAATTACTAGGTCAAAGGGCATGATCATTTCTAAAGTTCTTGATATATTCTGCCAAATTGCTTTCCAAATGTGTAAAGGGTGTTTCCGTAATCATTTTACTGTTCTGATTTTTCTTAATCTTTGCTAATTAAGCAAAATTGAGATTTTAAAGATGATTCATTATATTATTTAGTTTCCCATTACTATAACAAATACCTGAGAAAATCAACTTATAAAGAGAAAAGGCTCCTAGTTGGAGATTTCAATCCATGATGGGTTGGCTCCATTGCTTTGGGGCTTGTGGTGAGACAGCACATCATGAAGGGAGTATGTGGAAAAGCAAAACTGCACACCTCATGTCTGGGAAGCAAGAGACAGACTGAGGAAGAGACTGGGGTCCCAAAATCCTTTAAAGGACATGTCTCCAGTGACCAGAAGACCTCCTACTAGACCTCACCTCTTGAAGTTTCCACCACCTTCCAGAAGTGCTACAGGCTAGGCATCAAGTCTTTAACACATGGCCCCACTTTAGATACAAACTATAACATTTATTCTAATTACAGTCGGCCTTTCTCTCTCTCTCTCTCTCTCTCTCTCTCTCTCTCTCTCTCTCTCTCTCTCTCAGAGTGCTGGCCTCTGCTCCTCTATGGAGAAAAAAGATAGATATATTCATCTTTAGGAGAAAATTGTTTCTTGATTAGAATCTGAAAAAGAAATTCCCATCAGCCACTGTGTAATCTCCTGATTAACATTTTCACCCACCTGTCCTGGTTGATTTCATGGCCACTATTGAAGATGTGGACACCAAAGCAGTGAGGAGCCTTCAGACCATGTGGGATGATGGAGATCAGCAATTATTCATGCATTCATTTTTATGTCTAATCGTTCATTTTGCACCTACAGAGTGCCTGGCATTAGGAATACATAGTATAGAGGAAAATAGACACCATTCCTATGCTGTGAAATCCAGGTTGCAAAACAAAATGGAAAAATTACAGTGAACATTCAGAAGGAGCTAGCAGGCACTAAACAAGCCCCTGGCAACCGTCAAAAGTGATCATGAAAATGAGGGTGCACCTAGCCTTCCCCGCCAGTTGCTATAGGGTTTCAACACGCACTCACAGGCCCACAGCAGGTTTCCAGGTCTTAATGAATGGTAAGGACACACATTCCTCAAAAAATATCCATGTATCTGTGGTTCTCAATGCGCCTGTCCATGGAAGGCTCAAATGCCCTGTCTCCCAGCACCATACCCTGATGATTAATATTCATGACTGCAGGAAATATTGCAACACCCTGAAGCAACTTCCACATCATCAAAGAGATTAAATTAAATTTTGAGCTATTTTCATATTAAGAGCTATGTTATTTTGTTCTGCTGCTTTGCAAACTGACAATTCATGTATTCTGTCACATTCTTATGCTAATCTCCTGTTTTCTATTATTCTGAGTGCATTGGAATTTACTGTAAAATCTTACTGAGCTTCTCATTCTATTTAATTTTTTTAATCTTTTTTCCCCCCCATTTCCTTTGAAAAACCCATACTCTGTAGGCCTTGTCAGCTTTGTGCCTTTGTGGGATCCTCTTTTCTTTGTTCTAGCTGGTCTGCACTACTTACATTCACTAGGTTCAAAGAAGCCATGGAGTGTTAAGTTTCTACTTTGTTCCTGGGTAAAATTTCTGTTTCATGCCATAGAAAGCGATGAGGTGGAGCTAGTTGTGACCCAGGAGAACCATAAAGAAGTCAAGATTCTATTTGTTAACATAACTCTTGGAGTTTGATGATGAGTGTAGATGCATAAATTCTTGACTGAATCTCGATCTCTCCAAGACTTAAAAATTCAAGCAACTTAATAAAAATTAATGATATTTTTTACACTGGGTATTGCACCCCCGGGGCACTTTTACCACTGAGCTACACCCCATTATTATTAGTAGTAGTAGTATTTTCAATTTTGAGGCAAAGTCTTGCTAAGTTGCTGAGGCTGACCTTGAACTTGTGATCCTCCTGAATCAGCCTTCCCAGTCTTTGGGATTACAGGCATTCATCACTGTGCCCTGCAAAAATTAATGGCTAATGATTAATTAATGATTTATGTTCATTTACCTACAAAGACTAATAATTGGTCACAGTACAAGTGGGGATGAAAACTAGTTTAATTAGGGTAGAAAATGATTGGGGTGTAGAACTGTAATTCACAGATTCTGTAATTGTTTCTCTCAGATGTCATTTCCTGTATTTTAGTTTTGGTATTAAGAATATTATTTGTGGGCTGGGGATGTGGCTCAATCAGTAGCGCGCTCGCCTGGCATGCGTGTGGCCCGGGTTCGATCCTCAGCACCACATACAAACAAAGATGTTGTCTCTGCCAAAAACTAAAACATAAATATTAAAAAATTCTCCTCTCTCTCTCTCTCTCTCTCTCTCTCTCTCTCTCTCTCTCTCTCTCTCTCTCTCTTTAAAAAAATATTATTTGTGGTAACAAGATGGAATTATTTTATATTTCCTAATTTTGATAAAAGCCAAAATTCATGAGACTACTGTGGATTTCTTCTTAGTACTGAAATGCATGGTATTAGTTTCCTATGCTGCTATAACAAAATACCACAAACCTAATAGCTTTAGACAATTGCAATTTATGATCTTACAGTTCCATAAGTCACAAATCTAAGATCAGCTTCACTGGGCTAAAATTAAGGTGTCCTTAGGCTTTGTTCCTTCTGTAGGCTTTAGGGAAAATCCTTTTACTTGCTTTTTCCAGCTTCTAGAAGCTGCCTATATTCCTTGGTATGCACCCCTCTTCATTCTAAGTCAGCAATATCAAATTGAGTCCTATCATGACACCTTTCCCTCTGGGCATCTTATTCTCTTTTTTTTGTTGTTCCATTGGAACCATCTA